ATCAAACCCGATCCTTGGTCCCGTGCCTGTGAAGCGTCACGCTTACCCCCACTCCAAGCCGCCACTGCTAGGCTACCGGCGACCATGGCTTTTGTGCTTTCCACTGTTGAGCGCTCTCCGGAGACCACCCTCCATAACTTCGTTCAGAGAATCGTTTGGCAGATTTTGAATGCAGATTTGAAATCAGCATAAAAAAATACGTCTAGCAGTATAGGTCCCATTTCAAATGGCCACTTCGACTTGGGATCCTTCCCTTGTAAGATACTTAATATTACGAAGCTCAGAAGCTTTTTATTAGAGCAGCCTGCAGCTTGGGCTTTACATTTCTCGCATTACATGAAGGTAAAGGGCCTTTTCGTGCGATGTCCTGTCGCACACGGCAAAGTCAAATATAAACAGCTTCGAGGATACGCACCCGTTCTGTCTATTATAGAGCAGCTTTTCCTTGTCCGAAAAGATTTTCACCCGAGCTTTGGTAAACGAGTATTACGCCGTATACACCCGGCTTTCAACTCTTCTGCTCCTATTAACGCTATCCGCATTGCTGCACAGCAATTTTGAAGTGGCTGTCATAAAAATCAGTCTAGATTTCGCTTAGGGTGGTAGTTTCGGTTAAAAGGCTTTCCCTCATTAGCGCTACCTGTTGGTATGAGCTCTAACTCACTTTACTTCACCAGGTCACCTGGTCTCATAACTAGAGTAAAGGAGCAGGAGATTTCGGTGAGCTTTAGCAGCACGCGACGGTAGATGGACGTCTCAGAACTTTTCGATCTCACCATATTAATCTCACTCAGGGCAGAATACCTACTCTTTTAATATTCACAATGACCTTTGAAAGCTCATTGCACCTGTTTTGAATTCGCGCGGTAGATTAGATCAATCTGCCAATCGTAAGCATTCTATGGCTTCTAATGAGAGTCGCTGTCTAAAATTTATCAAAAAAGATTCCCTTGTATGGTGATAACAGCAAGAGATTGCGGCCTAAATATCATCGCTGTTTTTCAAGAAGCACGTGCGAAAATTGTGACATGCTACTTTATTCTTCAAGTTATCATGTGTAGAGAATTTCAGATCTCACGTCGCATGAATCGTACAGTTGCTGTGGCGCCACAACCTCTCATAGTCTTCAATGATGGTACGTCCACATTCTGTTCCACTTTTGCAGTTGGTCAATTTCTGCGAGGGTGGTCTAGTTGGTAGCAGAATCACCCCGCTAATTGGAAATTTCCTGAAAATCAGTCGGTCACGGCATTCCGTTGTGCGGGCCAAATACACATTCAAACGTCACCAAAATTTAGATTCCAAGCCAGTTCGCTAGCGCGCCTCAAGACAGACGTTCATCGTCTCCTAGGCTTTTACATTTTCCCGCAATCTTGAATACAGTCGGGTTGAGCGAAATGTTCATTCGGAAAATAGTGGACACCACATTAAGACGTAAATTCATAGGGACTCTCATTCCAGATGTGCACTCCGATATTGACGATATAGAGAGTGGAGGGTCGGACGAAAGCGCTGCCAGTAGCGATGAAGAGGAGGAGGATTGGTGGGATGAAGGGGGACTCGAAGCAGGTGATGAAGACGAAAATGAAGATGACGATGGTTTGTTCTTTAGAATAGTCTTCTCGTATTCATTTGTGAATTAGTGTTCATTATCATAGATTCTGGCGATGATTCTGACATTAACATGCAGACGAAGAAAATTAATGGTGATAGTGACGAAGGTGGAACGGATGATGATGATGAGTCCGAGGTGAAACTTTTGACAATTTGAGAGGCGTCCATAAGTGTTAGTCACGATTGTTATTTTATAGGATGATGGCGATGAGGGTGGCGAAAATGACGACGACGAGGAAGACGAAATGGATATAGGATGATCTCTTAACAGTATGCTAAGAAACACCCTTCTAGCAGTGAGTTTGTTAAACGATTTTCGCTAGTAATTTGTCCACTGTGTCAACATTAGGCACTTTGGTCCTGTTGTAATAAGTTGTGAAGGTTGCCAAAGCGTCCGTCTTCGGCATTTGTTGTTGTGTTTATTTTTGCTGCCTTCCTCCTTGTTGTCTTCTATTGTTACGCTTTGTCGGAGTTCAAAATTATGAACGGTTGTTCTCCTTCAGACATAGTGAATGTTGTTGCTGTTTTGCCTAAATTGGTAACAGCACTGATATAGTCTAAGAGATGTAATAATTTGCTCTACAGTTACTGTTATTCATTTCAGTTTTCCATAGTTTTCTCCTGAAATGTTTATGCCTTTCTTCCCAATTGAGGACAAGAGTTGTTTATTTGAGAATCCTCCAGTTGAACTGATACTTTCGTCGCATTGGAATTGTCAATGTCGGAATTGTCTTGCGCAAATTTGCGTCATTATAGTTTCGCCATTCGTGATTTTCATTCAGGATTTGGTGATGTGGTACAGTGTTGGTCTTTCTGGTTTTTGAGAATCATTGTCTTATATCACATTTCTATATAGGTGTTGTGTCACTTGCCTTAGTGTGTTACGTTGTTATCGTTGTTGAACTTTGCAGACATACATTCTTTAGTCGTTTATAAATGGTTTTCCAACACGGTTTCTGATAATGGTGTTGCAGTGTGGCGCTGTAACGTCTTGTTTATGAGTTTCAGGAATTCGAAGTCGAACCGGGTTCTATGAAGTGGCGGTGATTAAGTACGAGTTCGACCTTCGATTAACGTTCCGCTGTGGGTCTATGTATGTATGTATGTGTGCGTGTGTGTATGTGAGTGGGTTGCTGCATGTGGAGTTTGCAGTTCAGTTACAATAAGAGATTCACGATGTTGCTGAGTTTTTGGAGGCTTACGGGTCCGGTGTGCCTGAAACGTCGCAGCGGTCCATCGGCGGCCGAACGAAAACAGGCTTCGGGCGAATTGCGATCGCTGGAAGCGCCGCGCCGGTCTAATTTTAGTGTGCCCTAGAATCGCATCGATTGACTGGCGACCCGTAACTACGAATTCTAGTATTGCATTCTGTTTTTAGGTTACTCACACTGCTTCTCTTTCTTCTTCTGGTTCACTTCTGCATAACTCAATAGTCTTTGTGACCGGGGTTGGCAGCAGCCAGCATACCTTTCGGGTGTGAAAACCAGACTAGAGTAGTCTGGTAGCGGCCGGTTTTTCGAATTCGTTCTCTTACAATCAGCCCAACGTGAAATTTCTGCGTTTGCTTGTGGTGTGCGCTGTGTGTGTACGCGGAGAACGCGGAATTCGATATATCGAACATCATCATCGTCACCAGCCGATTTGGTACTCCTCGGTCGTCGTCGGCGAACCTGCTATTCAGATGACCTATTTTGCGCTTCGAATTTATTTTTCATCAATCTGATAACGCGCATTTATCATTCGCAAGCTTTGCGCTGATTGCTTTGCTGCACATTCGAACAACTTCTATTCGGCAGTCATTACCATTCGGCTGTGACTTTTGGCCGTTCATCAAGCTCACGTCCAGATATGTTCAATCGAACCGGACTTGCTCCAGCTCCGAATGTACCGAATCCACGAAACGCCGGTCGAAAGAAGAGCAATCCGGTATGTTTTGCTTCAGTGTTCAGCTTTTGTCTTTTTTAAACGACAGTATTCTCTTTCAAAGAAGCTCGAGAGCTTAAAATCTATGTGTAGAAATAGTCTATTCATAGATATTCAAGTTCTCGAGGTGAAACTCTCAGACTTTACTTCATGATGTTCTTCTGTTGTCTGCTGGTGTGAAGTTGCATACACCAAAAGACTTCATACGATTGGTTAGGGTCTAACTGTGTGATAACTGGTTCTATTATGCGCCATTTAGTATTCCATCAAAATTCTGGTCTGCCTATTATTGGGTTGTTGCGATTTTTGTTGTCTAAACTCGTTTAGTGGTTGATTTCAGCTTCAGCTATTTATTTTCAAGTGCTATCACTTTCTGTCAACAATTTATCAAGTCCATTCTTCTTCTGTTTTCGTTCGGTCCCAGTCAGACCACTTCCTACGCCCATGGGAGATGTTTTTGCATAGCATCATTTCTAGCAAGCTGAAGCGCGATCGTTACTGGCGATAAATGTCTTACGGGATACATATTTCAGTTGCCAATTCCTATTCTATCGTATCGTATACCGTGTCCCCAATGCCGCCCTCGCCCAGAACGGGATTTGGTCGCGAGGTGAATTTGGTGGTGGTGGGGGTGTAGACGCTCTTTTCCAGTGCTTCCTTCTCTCATACCACCGCATAAAAGCGTTCGCATCGCTGCCTTGTTAAGTAGACTGGAATTGAATTGGAGTCGTCTCACTTGCGCTGAATTCGGCTCAAACAGCGCGGGGATTAATTCGTCTACAGTGTACGAAATCTAGTCTCGTCACCAGACGGCAAACAGTTTTCGATAGTAATTAAATGAAAGTTGCTACTAGTTTGAAACTCCATTCTTCCGAAATATTTCAGAAAAACTGACCGGATGGCTTGAGAGTGGTTTTTTTCTCAAATGACCCGTAACCGAAATCAGGGATCGGCTGAAGAGTTTGCTGGGCGTTGCTCAGTTCCTTAGAATTATGCCGCAAAGACAATTTCTATAGCGAATCGTGAAAGCATCATTCGTGTTACTAACGTTAACAACGTCAACTTCACCGTTAGCTGACATTCAAGCCAGTCCTTTTATTTTTCCATACATTTCCGGTTCTTAATAGCTACTCACGAGAAACGAAATACAGCTGGTCTGGATGGCATTTGATTTCCCGTCTCGTGGAGGGTAGAGGATTCCTTTTAGTATAACTTGAATAACTTGAACTGCAGAAAAGAATAACGGATCTTAATAATGGTATAATAGGTAGGAAGGACCGTTTAAAGTCGAGAAAGTATGGGTATTAATCCGCAAAAGTGAGGGAAGAGAGAGTATCTACTCGAGAATCCCTTGACGGAGTTCCTGCTGGGGGCGAATATTACAGGGGAATATTCGCCACTCTTCCCAGGGGAACTGTTGAAACGCTCAAAAAGATTCACGTGTGAATTGTGAACGGTCAATGGGCAAGATAGTTTACAACGTCCCATCCGACGCCGCTCATGAAAGTGAGGTTTTTTGAGTTCGCGGGTGAATTTAGAGCCTAAGTCTCCTTAATCAGTTACGCTAAAGGATTTCAATCGGTCGTCTGATCGCTCCTGAGAACGCATTCGGGATGAGATGACAAAGCTTTTTACTTCGGCGGCATTAGTAATCTAGCCAGTTTGGGTGAGAGGCTGAAGGGTGAAGCTGAAATTTGTTAGGCTTAGACAGTTATTTGTGGTCGAACGGCTACGTTTACGATTGCTAGTAAATGTAGAATGGGTTGTACAATCACTGAATTCCCCTTTCCTTGTTCTCCCACGGCACTGGTTCTGTCGGACCTCCCGAGTTTCTTTAGGGTTCTTCCCAAGTTCACTTCCCACTGAACTCAACCATGGGTATTCAGGTGTGTTCGTAGTGCGCCGCCTGCGACACACCTCTCGTAAACCTGTCGCTTTTTCACGCAACGGGTGCGCTCCTGGCGTTATTAATCGTTGAATTTTTCACGATATTCCTAGAACGTGTTTCGAATTTGAGGAGAGAAAATTCGCAAAAAAAGTCTACAGTCAATGTCTGGACGCGACGAAAGGGAACCTTGTTTCTCCGTTTGCCCTTGTTCCACCGTATACCGCGTATTAATGTGGAAAGAAATGGGTGTCTCGCATTACTTTATTTCTACACCGTAGAATTGTTGTTCTATGATCAGCACTAGAATAAGGGAGTGGCGACAAGGAATTGATTGGGAACCGGAATTTTAGATTCTTCCTGACACATTAATCGTCTGAGATGGAGCCTTCGGAGAATTTCGACTTATCGGGCATATATTACCGTGAGGGTTAGATGTCAAAGTGGTCAATGTGGATGGTTAAGTCTGGAAAGTGTCAACCAAAATCAATCTATCGAACAGAAATTATGTTTTGTGGCCTCCATCGGAGTTCATTCTTTCTAGAGCGACATTGTGATCAGAACCTATTCACAGGAATGCTGAATTGATAAGAAGTATAATTCCTGTCTGACTGAATACTTCTCGATTGTTTTTCCGAGTAGAAGTGGAGTGGATCGATGATTAGTGCGATATTTCACCAATGCATATATAAGTTTATACCTGGTGCTGCTACATCTTAGTGATTTCATCAGTAAGCATGGAACTGGGTTCCTCTCTCTGATCATCACGATTGGGGTTCACTTGGCGTTCAACTTTCGCTCATATAGAGTAAATGTATTTGGCCTTAACAACTATTCCGATGTAGCTGTGTATACAGTGGCGTCTTCCTTACCCCATTGACCGAAAAGCGTTGGCCATCACTAGACCCAATATATCTCGTTGTTGACTTATCTCATTGCCTTCTTCCTTTTAAATTAAGTCCTGCAGACTGAGCGGGGGCCGTTAGTTTCATCTGACCCGGAGAGTTCCCCAGAAGTTGTATAAGAAGGAACTGACTGACCCTAGCCACTGAAGCTAATAAGAATATGTATAATATTTGACAGAAGCTCAAGCCCGCTAGTGGGTCCTCCTTTTTTCGGGACAAAGGCTTATAAAGGGAGTAGGGATACATGGGGAACTGATCCCTGCCCCTGGATGCTCATCGTGTAAACGGTTTTTCATGATACGCGTTCTTACAGTATTCAAACTTTTTACTACAGTATTAGTCGGCAAACTTGGGGCTCATTAATACCTACATCTGTGACTGAACACCACTCTGATTGGGTAAATTCGATCATGTCGTTAGATTCAACTTTTTGATCTTTTAAAATAGAAATCTCGCATGAACCATATTTCGAAGAAAAGTCCTCCAAAAGATATCGATAAGCCAGGGGAGACGATTTATGGCCTTATCGCGGTGAAAGGCTGTTTAGGAACGGCGCACGAGACACCTCCGGTGGCTCCTCCTTGCTGTGGATTTATGTATCAGCGTGACACTGAAGGCTTGCGAACCAGCCTATTGAGATGATAAGGTCAGAAATGTAGCTGCGAAAGGAACGATATGAGTAACAAGAAGGAATGGATGAATTCTTTCCTGTATCAGCGCATAGATAGTCATTCAAACACTCAATTCTGTGCATTCTTCTCGTACCTTACCCAATAACTGTACCCAGGTACGAAGGCTTCGCTTTTAGGATTTCAGGGCATTCTAGACTAACTTCTCTGTTATATCTTTTAGCATCTATGCTTAATTTCCCATACCCCTTATTTTCGTCATTGTAGGTCAAACAGTGTTTCTTTAGTTTGCTGCTTAAACAGTCCATTGACTCAGATTTGGTTGAGTGCACAATTGATGGGTTCGTAATCTAGTAAATACTAGAAATCCAGCTTTTACTGCCTTCGATTCCGTGGCAGCTGACGTGGCACCAACCAATGGGTGGCTTCCTTTGCCTTCGCTCGGGGAAAAGTTGGAACCGGAGCTTCTTATTCATACTCACAGTGGGAACTGTACTCTATGAACTGACAGGACTTACTGGGGATAAGATGGGAATGTGTTTTACCAAGGCTAATTACGGACAGGAACAGTGTGCTGAACGCGCCCTTAGATTTGTACGGGTCCGATTTGTTCTACCGAACTTTCCATCCCTTCGGATGATGATAGGCTTGCTGCTGGGAGGATGAATACATAGTGGTGAGCACTACATAACCATCAGTGATCTCCGGCCAAGTACGCCATTGTAGTCATTTTGCTAACTGAGGAAAATCTGGATAAAAGTACCTAGAACCGTGGTGTAGTAGCAAGGGAAGAGTGGCTGGACGGCACAAGGAAATGCCGTTGTGTTGTAATTTGGGTTTAGTCACTTACCTTAATGTGTCTTTTCATCCTCTCGAGATAGGCTTTTCAAACCATCAAGATGTGACAGAAAGGATGAGCGACCCCACTTGGGAGCGGTTGGTCTGCGGGCGGCCCATAGTCATGAAAAATTTTCATTGTGAAAATGTTAGACAAATGGCATCGAGAATTAATCTGGAGGAAAATGAATATCAGTCCTACTCTATCCAGTTTTCAAAGTGCAAATGGCGATTTTTCAAATTGAAAATAGCTGGAACCTTTCGTGAATATGGTAGAAATACTGGTTCTATTTCGTCTGGAATAAGAATTCTAATCCTTTTTGGCAGAAGAGGGCTTGTTTACGGAGTGAAGGGAATGCCAAATCACACGAAAGTTTAAACGAATTTCTCTCTTTCTCTCTCTCTTGTTAGCAGCGTAACAGTGCCTTAGTCTGTCTAGTGCTGTCGCTTTGCTACATGCTCGCAAAAAACCTAATTCAGGGAAGATTCGCAATCGACAATCCAGTCGCCCTGAATCCAGTCCTTGTCAAGGTTTCGGCTGCCCGATTAGCGCCGAATCCTGCTTTTGGGAAAATTGGTGTCGTTTTACGCCAAGCAGCCGGCTTCTTCCTACTACTTGTAGTAGACCTTAGCGAGTGAAGGGTGAAATGGGGAAATTGCAAGGACAGCTTCCATAGTTACTATGAAAAACGTCCAAAGGAATCTATAAAGATTCGCGTTTCCAATGTATAGTTCATATTTTTCATTTTCTCAGTGAACGAGATATAGTCGGTTTCTAATCCATGGAAATAGACTTATTGATAGTAACGCATGCCCTTGAATTATCACTTTGAATTATCTATGTAGCAAAACATACGAAACCAAACTGTCTGAAACTCCATTGAGGACTACCAATATTCAAGTTCTCCATATAGTAGGCATAGTTGAAGCCTCTGGTGGAGATGTAGAGCCCGTAGGTTACCAGATGTGGTTTTAATCGTTCCATCGAGCGAATCTTCGCGCCAGATTATTTTTATAGGTTTGGAAAGATAAAGACCTTAGCGTTAAGAAGATAAAGCCCTAGACGTTTTCTAGATGCACCCCGCATATGACTTTCATTCAGGATAGAAATGTCGCTAATAAGTTTAATATGTTTGTGGCCTATACAATGACTATGGCAAGACCGTGAAGGTCAGTTCTCTTCACATAAGGCTCGTTTGGCCTGAGCGAGTGTCAGGGGATTCGGTCCCTGATCAAGATGTGTAGTAGTGCACCCCTAGCCACTGCACCAACTTTTTTTCTTGTGTAGGAGATTGGGTAGGACATAGTGGAGTGGGAGAAAGCGCGTGGTTTTTTTAACATGCGCTTTAGAAGCTATCGTAAGAATATGATAAAATGATTTGTTTCTTCACTACAATTGTGCTTACTGTACGTTTTGCTGGGTTTGAAGAGCGAAAAGTCAATTACTGAAAAACAGATTACAGGGAAAAGTGTACAATGCTATCAAAATTTGAGAAGTAGAGGCGATTCAGAATGCCACGATCTCGCCTTTACTCTGAATTGAGAGTCCCCCCCCCCCCCCCCCTCCCCCACTTCTCTCCGCGAATAGTCTGTATGAGTGTTTGGGATAAAAAAAGTTGGACTGAATGAGTAAGTCAAGCAAAGCGCTACAGCTAATTATTAGGAGAACTGAATAGGACCATTTCAAACCCAAGAATCTTACACAATCAAACCTGCATCTACTTTGATTTGATGGGCAATTCGTAGTTGTTGTTCTTCTCAATCAAAGGTAGTCTGTATGAGCAGGTATTGCAGTTTCAAGCTACGCTTCTGAGTTAGAAGGGATATTTTTCCAAGGAGAGTCCAGGACTTTTGAGATCACCTGGCGAAAAAAAAAAATAGGGCTGCAAATGAATTGGTTAATTTTTATCGAAGCGTGATCTGTGATATTATTGAACAGTCTTTGTTCAGAGTAATCGAAAATAAATAAGTCGTACTTCAGCGCCACACTACAGTAAAATCCCTCACCTCTAATCAAGTCGGCCACAAATTTCCTTCAGAAAACTGGCTGTAATCCGGCATCGTTTATAAAGACCGTTTCTACTACCATACTCAGACGCAATACCTCTCCCATTTGGATGTATGCCTCAAAATGGTGCTATTCCAGTATGAGCTTTCAATGCTTTTGTAAGCATCATCTTGTAGAGCTTGATGCCGGAAACAGTAGTTACCTAAATTCAAGAAATAAATTGGAAATTCGAGAAACAATTCGAGAACTCGATAAGAAAATCGCTTTAATATAAGTTTTCCTGAAGGAAGTAATGTGATCCTCTAAGCATTTTCTTGTGAACCCTTCGGTCTCTCCCCCTCCTCCTCTCCCCTCCCTTTCCACTGATGAATGTCTGGCGTCTTTCCTGAATAATGGAAGATAATTCTGAAGGTAACTGGTAATTTTACAATGTCTAGAAAGTATGGCTCGTTACCCAGCGAGATATGCATTTCCTTGAAAAGGTTCGACATGCTTTTCGATATGCCCCTAGATGTTGCCATTTTGTATCAAACAAGCGGCAAAAACAAACAAAAACATAGGGCTTCGGTACATATGAAAGTGAAAAGGTTTTACCTTTTGAAAGTGGACCTTTATTCATTTGTTCGTCGACCGTAGCTTGTAGACTAGACCTCATGTACCTGTATTTCCTCAATGATTGCTTTTTGATTGATTGTTTCTTAATTGGCAACTGTTTGATGCATCAGTAGCAAGTCGCTTACCGGACACTTTCTTTATGAGGAGTGATGCCTGTCGTCTACATTCAATCAATCACCAGCAAGAGTGGGGCTTCTTTAATTATTAATATGCCGTCATTTTCAAGACGGATGGTTACACTTTGCAGTCCAATAATGTGGAACCACAGTATTGATCAGCGACTTCTGAATAAGAACCTCATGATTTTTAAAGATATTGGGTTGCCTGATAAATCGTAATGCTTTTATTTGATCCCTATTCTAGCAGATTGCTATAGGAAACTTCTTTTGCTCTTTCTTCGGGGTGCTTTGTTAGGGCCAAACCATTATATCTGGCACCTTCTCGATAAAACCGAAATCTCGCGCTGCAGGCGCACTCTTCCTCAATCTCAGTTGATTATTTTCAGAAAACGCTCGTTCTACAGATCTGATGGCTCCCACTATAACTGGGTTTTAAAAACGAAGTTGATAGTCGAACAATGTTTTTTGATCGAGCCGGGCCGAAATTTAGAAGAGATACGCTTCACATGCCTATGTCCTTGGGCGTCCAACCGATATTTATGTTAAAAAAAATCCGTTCTCTCTAGATCTGTCTGCATTCATGCATCTACTGTCTTTCATTTCTTTGAGGTAAACAAATGCAGCTCTCGGTAGATTTGAACGTTTTTAGAAAAGAACACGTCAGTCAATCCGTTTTCCTAATGACACTAAATTTAGGGAGTGATGTACCATGAGGAATCTGGCTCCAAGGGTGTGGTAACTTTTCCCCGAAGATCGCGTCGCCGCGTCCGTCCATGCGCAGTCGCGCGCTATGAATGGGAATGTTTGAATCCCCGATGGAAGGATACTGTAGTCGCCGAACCACTGCCGCTAGCCGTAGGAATCTGGGGGGGGGGGAGTATACCACCCCTGACTTTAAGTTCGTTGTCTTTTATTTAAGGAATCTTTCACTCAACAAAAAAAGAGTAGGAATTCGATGTGTACCCCTTCTACATTTCAGCCCGGCTCAATTGGAAAATACTTCATTACCCACTAGTAATGGAAACAGATCTGTATTAAGTCTAATTTTCGAACGAGTTAACTAGAAGATTGAAGGGGTGTGCGTTCTGGCACATACCTTTCAAGAATTTCGGCTTCAGAGACAAACATACTGATTCACTCCCAACCAAGCACCTCAATAGGTTAGCAAAAGATGCTTCCTACTGATATAGAGCAACCCGCTTGAGTAAGGATCAAATAAAAAAATTACCAAAATTCACCGGACTGGCTAATATCGGTAAAGCTAATAACGGGTTCTCATTCAAAATCCGTCGCTGATCAATAGTACAGTTCCACGTTGCTCGATTGCAAACTGTAACCATCCGTTTTGGAAATGCCGGCAGATGAATAATTAAGGAAACTCCACTTTTGCATGATGATTGATCAAATTCAAACGACAGACTCACTTTCATAAAGAAAGTGTCCGGTAAGTGAACAGCTACTGAAGCATCAAAGATTCACCAATTAAGAAGCAATCTTGAAAGCTACAACTTCTTGTTTCACCTCAAAAAAAGTAATGGTGGCTTTCTCAAGCAGTTCTAAGACCGGAACATACAAGGCAAAGACAATTGAAGAAAATTATGAGCCATGATGTCGAAAAAAATCGCCCATTAAGTGGCGATAGGTAATCCTCTATCCGTCCTCTTCTTGTTTTAAGTCACCCCTGTGAATTTCGTGTCAAAGACGAAGTCAAAGAACAGGAGTTTCGCTTCAAACACATTGCACATTGCTTGGTTCGCATCATCTTCTAAAACTATAGAGCGGAGAGAGTAAATAAGCTCTGTGACGCGTCTCCTCTTTTTGAGGAGCCACCAACTTTATTCTCTGTTACCAGCAGTCCGAAATTTGTCCGAAGCTAAGAAATGTCAGGGTCAAAGGAAAAAGTGTATCTGCTGAATTGCTTCGATATATAAGAGCCGCCTCGAGCGTATTCAGAAACTCAAAGCATGTACCGCCTACTGCTGTAATACTAGCAAAATGTCTTCAATTTTGAAATTTCTGAAAAGTGAGTGCGAATTTCACGAAAAAAGGCCTTTCAGACGGTTTTCTTGCTTTGACCAAGATTGATGACTGTGCGTTCAGGTATGGGAGTTCTTCACGGACCTCCGAGGTCACGGTCTCGCCGGTGTTCGATGTCGATTCTGTCACTGGGTTACGAACGATCGGAGTCCAACTACTATGAAATTCCATCTGAAAAGGAAACATGACACAGGTGTCACTTTGCATCAGGCTTGCTCTGAAGCATTTAGTTTTGGACGGAATAGATAATCTGTCTTTTCTAGGACCAGGTGGTCTGTGGGCGATCTGTGAAGAAAAGATCAACTCTCAAGCGCCTGCAAACTATGCACCGCGCTCGAAAAAGGTAACCTATTTTTTAATCACAGCAAGGACTGTGCCTCACAAAGTTTCTGTACTGTTTTTTTTTGTAGTCATGCCTCTCAAAGTTTCTGTACTGTTTTTTTTGTAGTCAGAAGATGCGTTACTGAAAGCGTTGACGAACCAAAGGCAACAAATGCAAACGTTTAATCCCTTTGGATCAGATGATGTCAAAATGGGAAGTGAGTGTTTCTGCTCCGGTGACGGGTCCTTTTTTTTAGTAGCTCTTTTCGCAAGCTGAATCTGATTTATTAGGAATTTTTTTTCGGAGTTGGATTGCACGTGCACGATAAGTTATTCTTCTAAGGTACGTGCTTGCAAGGGATTCTCAATGAGCATTATGAACCTGAAATTAATTAAATAATGGATTCGGCCAGTATAGATGTAGTGAGATGCTCAAGTGAGGAGTAATATTTTTCTTCCACTTCTAATCTGTGGCCTAACCACGCATAGCGTATAGGCAAATGCTCTCTTCATCACTTACCTCATTCCCGGCGCTTTTAGTCATACACTGAAGTTCAATTAATCCCCTGTTCTTAAAGTTCCGCATCTTCTCTCGACATGTCTTAGCTGTGCTTGACGTTCCTCTCTTTCTTCGAACATTTTCGATCTGGCGAATGTAACAGTGCTGTTCAATGGAGTCATCAACTTTCACCCTCATCCGTTCTCTTTTTTCTATCTTCAGTTAGGCTCGGACTTCTCGAATTCTCGAAACTCGAGTTTAACAAGGCTGGGTTAAGTATTGGCCTTATTCAGTGCTGGTATTTTATGTCACCAACATATTTATGATTGAGAGCACTGCAAGGATAAGAAAGTTACTGCGCTTTCTGCTTCGCTGTTATTCAAGACGATTCATTATCATGTCAATGCGGTCATTGAGTAGAGTTCAATTTTCGTTCCAATAAGCTCACAGTGGCGCTGACTCCTCTTTACACTTTATTCCGTGAACATGTGCGTTTAGTCTCTTCCCAGGACGACTTTCTCACATCGCTGATCCAACAAGCTACAAGTTTGTCCGCTTCACCTGCAGAGGTAAGAGGCGCTTGAACCCGTTATTGTGAATTGTCTCCTTACTGCTCCCTATCGTTCGGCATCAGTTTCAGGATACTTTCTGTACGCAAGAGAATGAAGGTCTTTCCCTGTCTGAGTCACTATTTCTGTCAAAGCTCAACGAGGGCCTCGTAAGTAATGTTTCCAAGATTCTGTGAAGCGTGATCGCGTAGCTATTGTTGTCAGATTTAGCATCAAAAAGAAGAAGATGGATCATCGTCTTCAGCCAGCGGTCTCATCTCCAATTCAAGTAGTGATTTCCAGTTGAGCGATGGCGCCAGTATAGCTGCTCTTCTTCAGGTTCTTCATCATTTTCCCAGCAATGGGGATTTTTGCCCGATTGTTGTTGATCGCTAATGTAAATGTTCTAGAGCTCCATTTCAGCCTTAGGATCTTCCTAGGAACTTTCTTCACCGGAATCACGCTCGCAATTATTCGTCCCTTCTTAGTACACAGTTCCAAATCAAGCTTTTAAACTGTCAAGCGTGGTTACCCGAACTCCAATTTTTCAAAAGAATTCCCTTATACTTTCCAGATTGCGACGGACTCTGATCTGACCTTCACCTTCAACTCAAGACGATGCGGCGAATATTGCTTTGAGTCGAATAGGAGAAATGTTGGTTTATATTTTAGTAGATGATACCCAATCATGAGTTTCACCGGGGTGCGTCATTGTTTGAATTTCAATGCCCTTGCTAGCAATAGAGTGACGTTTTACGACTCGTACTGGACATAAAGGGAAATGTCAGACCTCTACAAGAATTGGAAGTTTGAGGCAACTGGGCAAGATCGTAAACTAATGGACATCAATCTCGTCAACTGTTGGACACGTGTAATCTATCGTCCTGTTGCTCTTCAATTTCCCGAGCGGGCGCTAGTAGTAACGTCTCCAGTTGTTCCTGACACGAGCCATAAGAATCCAAAGTCTCCAGTTGTTCCTGACACGAGCCATAAGAATCCAAAGAATCGTTCTCGCTCGAGGAACGCGGCACATCAGGCCTTAAGTTTAGAGCTTCAGTGAAGAAGTCTGACCATCACGCTGGGGGTAAGCCGTCGGGGGTTGCTCGCTATTGCCACGCGGGTCTTGAGTTGGTATGTACCACAAACGTGGGTGATTGGGTAATTAAACTTTTATTGTGTATTTTACATTATATACAAAGTTCTAAAGAAGACAGAAGAACGACTGAATCCTAGGAATTCCATATATTCGGTGGATACTGGGCGGAGCAAGCTATATGTATACATTCCTCAGCACGTATCATCCACCAGATATGATTTTCTTCAACTTACAGAATTAATTAAAGTACACGAAGGCATCAATAAGAATCAACCATCGTAGGACCCATAGGATACAATCAGCCCAAATAATCTAAGATCATAGAAAGTCGTCTCAATAGGGGGCCATCCTGGTCTCGTTTGACGTGTCTTTGAATGGTCACCAATGATTGCTTGATATTCTGATTTAATATATTGGGATCCGGCGCCGAACAGTTCCTCAGCGGCGACATGGCAGCGAATTTCGGAAGGGAGGACTGAAGGAACGACATACCTAACATGGTAGGTAGGTGGACAGATGTGACTGTAAAAGAGATCCGAGCAAAAGTCATAGACGACTTTCTTCATTGTCCTTGCAGATGCAGGAACTATTCTCTTTGGAAGACGAACGGAAGTCATCTCTGTTTTGCAAATCGGCGAAGCTCTGGCGAGCTTGGCCGACTAAAAAACAACGAATGCTTTTCCCCACCTCGGCGACTTGGGTCATAACTGCTGCTCTTCTCTCTTTCGGATCTTCCTTTACCTCTTCTATGCATAGCTTCGCACGTTTGTAGATAACTTCGTGCAATCTAATGCTGGCGTATCATAGAGGGTTGCGAAGAAAGACGTTTTTTGGTTACTTGTTTACTCTGCTTTTCTAGCACCATCGTGAAGATGCTCGAGCAGTAGTTGTATTCTTCATCGATGTTGCCGAAAGGCGGAATCTTACCAGAAACTCGCATAGGATTCGATGGGTACCAGTTGATGACTATCCTGGGGCTGCGTTTCCTGAATTTCGCAACTTTCTCTACTCGCACCAAAAAACAGAACCTGGCGCAAAGGAGACCGTGCTCCGATCTCTGTAGAACTCCGAAACGTCACTCATTCAAAACTTTCGATGTCACTTTCGACTTTCTACCACGTGGCCCCCATCTTACTGCAAATGAGAAGGCTTCTGGCTTGACATGATAAACTCGGACAGCTTTTCACCCTGCTCATTCCAATCTGTTCCATTAGTCCCGAAGTGGAGCTCTTCAGCCGCTCTTCTGGATCCATTCTTGGCACTGAAATCACCTACGATGACCTCGAAGACAGTGTAGTCCTCCCTGAAGTTTTCCAGGTCTATATGGAACGCTCAACCCCTCTTCGTAGCTTGTTGTTGGTGCGAAAGCGCTTAGATTGTTAGAGCTGCGATTGAGCCACATCTTATTAAACACAATCGTTTGATTCTGGTTGTCAAGCTTCACGTAAGTCAATGTTCATGGCCAGCTGCTTGTTGACGAGCACACCTACATCCCGTTAACACCCTCTTCTGTCTGTTTCAAGGAGCAGTTCTTCTCTAGTCGGCGTGGTGCCTCATAACGTCGTACTTGGTCTTCTTGGGTGCTTGATCAGATCTTCGATACACGCTTCCGATGCAGGCGCTCTTGCATTAGAAATACGGTCACCACTCAGTAATGTTCTCCTGGCCAGCCTTCTGACCCTCCGATTTTAGCAGCATCTCCTAAGCAATCCTACTATACTCCGGGCCTTCTCAAATTTGGAAGAGTGAAGACACTTGCTCGTGATCATAAGCACATGATTCATCTTCCATTCCATCAAATAGACACGGAACTCTTTCCTTGAAGGTTTTCCTCCCCTGAAGGATCACTAGCTAGCTAGTGACGAAGCTACGTGATGTTGTCACGAGTGGCGGGTATAGGAGTAATTTGTGGATCAAAAGTCACCAGTAATTGCTCTGGGGTGCAGTTGGATTCAAGGGATGAACTCGTTGTTCCTGCAGTGCTATGTCGACATACCCTCTGTATCGCGCAAGTTCATCTATGCATGCATACGTGGAAAGTCTGCGGTTGCGGGTCGGCACCCTGCATATCGGCTCAGATAAAATCCGCACTGGAGTGACTGGAAAGCATCTCGGAGGCGGTTGGGGGTCGCTACTAAAAATAAAGATCATAGCCTTTGTGGATAGCTTGGCTAACACCCGTATTCTACCCAGCGTCCATGTCGGAGCCTGACAAGCTACTTGTCGGTATCCATATGGAAGCAATAACACGAATGAACCCGATTTCTTTTGAACTTGAGGGAGCCGGAGCCCCAATACGGCAGCGTTGGGGAGAACCGCTTAGGAACGATAGCTAAAATCTCAAAGTCGAAACAGGCTGGCTAAAGGGAGAAGGGTTAGGGTGGCAATCTGTATTTTGATCGCACAAACGCTAACGCTGGAAGCTTGTACCGAAGATCTGATGATGCGAGTCAGGAAGTCGAATGCGGCGTCATCGGTCTGCTCGAGAAGAGAAGGCATCGAGCGATGCTCGCCATTTTCAAGACTGGAGAAGAACTGCTTCTTATTGTTAGAGCATGCGACAGTAGGCGTCTGCGGCTCAGGTGTCCTTGTCAATACGCACTTGGTACGTAAGCTCGACGACCCGAATAGGACGTTGTGGTTGAGAAGATGTGGCTTTACAGAAAAAACTATACTTTTTTAAAGGTTATCGTCAGTATTTCGACGCCAAGATTGGCTCTAGAAGAATGGCTGAAGAACTGCAGTCGTTCCTATGGGGCCAATCTTTGAGTTGCAATCGGACTCACGGAATGGATGTAATGAACAGGATGAGAGGCTGTTTGAGTTTATCATGTCGACCCACACCATCTATGGTTAATCGCAATTACAGAAACCTCTCATCTGCGATGGACTTAAGCCTCAACTGGTAGACAGATCCATAATGAAATAGATCACATAATCCTCAATCGAAAGTTTTGCCTGACGGATGTTGTTGTTGCTCCGAACTTCTACACGGGATCGAACAATCGTTCCCTCCCCGCCGGGTCTGTTTTTCAGTGTGTGGATATGAAGCTGATAAGTCTAGGGAATGCAACCACAAAACTTTAACCAGCTGCCACCACTTCGCTTCCCTTGCGAGTTTGAGGAAACACCCAGTTATTAGCGATGTCGGCGAGGAATATGACCGGCCCATCAATCACCTTCGCAGAAGTGCTAGGAAAGCAGAGAGTCTAGAAGTAGCAAGGGACGCTTCTCTTCGCATACTCTCGCGATACGCCAGCGTGGAATCCTGCGAGCTGCAGGCAGTCTTCAACAGGCGTCCGAACTCGCGAATGCAGAGAAGCGATGGAGGAGTATATGAACGGAAGAAGAGCAGCAGTTTCGGCCGAAGCCGCGCACGCTGAAAAGGGCGTTGACGGAGCCCGCTAGAGCCTTACAGAACATTTACTGCTTATCCGAGGACAATGGAGATCTATGTCTCCTATTTGGATCTCTTCAACAGTCGCGTCTGCATGTTTACCGAGATATTAGACAAGACGTCGTCGTAGGTTGTATTAGTCTTCGAGATTTTTAATAATACTTTATCCACACTGCTTACGTTTTGGCAATATCGCCTTCGTTGGAGCTTCTAAGTCGAAACTATATTTGTGATCCGTGGGTTACCAATTTTCAAATTACAAGAAGAGGATTCTGAAGGGAAGTAAAACAGAAGCGATGAGCTGACCTGTAACCGACTGGAGCTGTTTGTCTGCACCCTGGGCCCGAAGTTCTTCACGGCGTTTTTATATGTGCTGGGACTCAGAGGTCGGGTCAGAGTTTGCTCCAGAAGACCCCCCCCCCNCCCCCCCCCAAGGTGTGAACTAATATATAAGGTCATACGAGGTCAGGTCCCTGCCGCGCATCGCCCTTGGTATTGATTAATCAGTGAGTCTGGGTATTTTCACCCGTTATTCCTACGCCGGCTACATCATATCATATATGTCATATACATCATAACAGAACCCTTCACACCTTCATTTACATGGGTGCTGTATCTTGAGGTCACCCGAAGGAGCGGACTTTCTTGACCATTTAAACCCATCCAATTGCTCTTTTATCCTGATGCAGAATGGTCTTCCCGTTTTCCCTACATATTCCTCCCCACACAGTTGGCATGTGATGAGATATACGACTCCTGAGATCACACAGTCACCTTTCTTTCCGGAAGGGCAAATCACGCAGGAGGGCGTTTGGCATCTCCGATCATAAGGACGATTTCGAACCAACTGTCTTTTGAGGTTCTAGGGAGGTATTTCGACCACTCGCACACTATCCTGGAAATCAGCTTTCCGGAGACAGGCGGGAATGGCAGCGCTCATATCATCTGTAACGAAAGGTACACAGAAGGGTGCTTTCGTTCGCCCTTCCTCTTGCGCATGTTCCATCCTAGCACGTCTTCTACACCACACAGGCTGCCCATTGCAACCATATCCATTCTCCTGCGCAATCCGATAAGCCATTTCCATGGGTTCAGTTGTAAAAACGCCTTTAGGCGAAACTGCAGAAGACGTTTTAAACGTATTCTTGACAATGGCAGTTTTCATCCATCAGTGGATGCGCTGAAC